TATTTCAACTTTGCGCGTACAAGTTTGTTTATGTTATGTGCGTACATTATGACGAATATTGAGTTAAAACTTTCTGAATAAAATGCGGTGGCAGCTACAAATTTTTAAGCCTGATTTGATTTTACGAAAATATTAAAGACTAGCATTGCCCGCGGCTAAGTACCGTAAGTAAGTAAGTAAGTAACCAAATTCTTAGGTTTTACATATTATAATATACTCCTACATTGCAGTTTTTGTATTTTTTCTCAGAAATGAGATATTTTTCCGCGTTAAAAAGTATCCTATATGTTGACCCGGGTAATCAGTTATCATCATACCAAACTTCATCAAAATCTCTCCAGTTTTTTTTTCCGTGATACGGTAACAGACAGACAACAATTCTAAAAACTATAGATTCGGACTCTGTATCGATAATAATGTCTATTTCAAGCAAAAATTTTGGAGGGACTTTTATTTCATTGAAATCATATTTAACATGTAATTTTATAGTTTATAATACGTATCATAATTATGTTTAAATAGGATAGACAAAAAAATATGACTGAAAAAGTGACGCACGTGTAATTTGCAGTAACTTTATAGATAAAATAATGATTTCTTATTCAATATTTTAGTGTTTTGAGTACATCCAAAAAATCTATATATTACATATAAAACAACAGTTTTACTAGAATTTACAAAATTTTCGAGCAATTTTTCCAAAAACATTTTCCAGTATTACATTTATATTAAAAGGTATTTCGTGACTATTATATGAATTAAGAAAAACTTTTTAACAAAAAAATAAAAATCGACTTCAAAAAAAGCACTAAAAAGTAAAAAATAACTGATTGGTAGTCTTCATTTACTATACATACCTACTTTTTAGTACTTTTTATGAAGTCGGTTTTTATTATTTTGTTAAAAAGTTCTTATTTTTCCCTTTTTAGTGTAGACAAACACTGCACTATCAATAGAAAGTCACACACACACTTGCAAAGTTGCATACTTGCAAAGTTTCAAGTCAATATTATAATTAGAAGTAGTTTAAATTCATCATTAGCTATTTTCCCACCCTTAGGGGTGGTATTTTTTTTTAAATTTAAATGGGACCAATCTGGAAGTATACACTTTCAAACAAAACAAAAATTGTCCAAATCGGTTAACAAATGACAGAGTTCTGAGGTAACAAACATAAAAAAAACATACAGCCGAATTGAGAACCTCTCCGTTTTGAGGAAGTCGGTTGAAAATAGTAAGCTAAGGCTAAGACACTTTTACTTTTGCCCACTAGTGGTTAAAGGGGCAATGGGAAAATTGATTGAGTATTTATTTTAATACGGGTTGCAAATATAGCATTTTATGAATAACCAGATTTTCTCGCAACTCCATTTGTTTGATAGTAATGAATAACGTAAAAAAAACTAACCTATAAGTAAATTCCGGAAACTAAGGTTCTATTCTAATTTTACTGAAAAGTTTTGAGCCTTTCAATAAGAAAATTAATAAGCATGTAATATAAATCTGATATATTTGAAATGATTTTATATAGAACAAATACTTAAGAGAAATTCAAGTACGAGTACCAATAGCAAAGGGAATGCGGTAGGCGGTAACTTGTAACTTATAATTAGTCACACTACGAATACATGTAGGAATGTTCGTTTAGATATACATATGTATATACGCTTAAATTCTTCAGAGTTAGAAATCAGAATACCGCAAATCTAAGTGAAATATAGTCCATCCGTTCATAAAAAATATTCATTTTATAGAACAAAAATTTAATCTAATAAGAATCATTTTGCGAAAACTGAAAGAAGCAGATGGACGCGATATAAATAAAACTATAAAAGGAATTTACTCAATATTTAAAGGTCCAGGTGAAGCTAATGGTTCCATAATCGACGCCGAGACCATTAATACCGTTTCCTGATGTCATAACTCATCTCGTTTGATACCGAAATTTCCGCCTCGGCTCTATGAACTTGAGATGGCTGGAGTAAATTAATTTTGAATGGGTTTCAAATAAACTGTTGTACTTTATTAGAAGATATTCTCTGTATTTCTGCTGTCTCAAGCTTAAAACATTTATGAATTGCAATTAAGCACAAAAAGTCTTGTTAATATTTTCTGTACCTGATAGACTACATCTGCCTATGTAAAAATGGCCGCAAAAGTAGTTGGGAATCTTTAAAGATTTTTTTGTTACATTTATACGTTCATAGCGTATATTCATCATTTATATATCAGATTAAAGCTAATTTTTTTCTGTACATGATAAAATACCTCTCACCTATGTAAAAGTGGCCGCAATGAAAAGAAAAGAAGGAAAGAATATTATATATCATTTGTCAGACAATAACAACTATCTTGCTGCGGGATCATAGTCCAAAATCAAAAATACAAAATACTTTCTTAGATTTACGCGAATGTTTGACATTATTAAATAAAACTATCTTTTCGGATTATTTCGCGGATTTATTTTGATTTTTGGTTCCCGACGTTTCGAATGCTTTACAGCATCCATGGTCACGGGAGAGACTGAGGTGTTACATGTCTTGAAGATATAGTTGTTACAGACAGCCTACCCACAATTAACAAAATGAAAATTGCACCAATTACATTACAATATTTTTTAACTTTAAACATTTTTATAATTTTAATTATAATTGAATATGGAAAATTATTTATTTAATTTTTGCTATTATTTTTATAATTATTACAATTTTAAAAATATTATTTAGTAATCTATATTTAGTGCTGCCATTATTATATATAACCATAAGGAAAATATAAAGTATAGTATTAATTATTTAAGCCATATAATTGTCTATGTGTAATTTAAAAAGTTAAAATTAATTAAGGATAATAATTTTAATTGAGTTTGCTAATATTTAAAAACAACTTACTAAGCAACACTATTAATATATACTATCATTTTTCTGTTTAACTTCAAAAGTGGTGCACACTATATATCCGTGTAAGTCGAAAAATTGGTGGATTACTGTCGAAAAATTGTGCAAAAAACCTTTCTGTACTTAATTATGTTTATCACGAATTTGAGTATCATAATAATTATAGTATATCCATATAAAGCAAAGAAAAAGATATTTTAAAATCAGTATATAACCTTAAATATCTCTACCCTATTTCACTGTCCTCTAAGGATACAGTATAAGTTTGTTAACCTCTCGTGCTTCTATTTACCTCGATACGATCAAACGCTACATATCCATAGTTCAGGAGTAGATTTAAGTTGAGAACTCATAAAATATGCAGCCTATTGACTGCTGCGCACTGCGGCACGATACGTCGCGGTCTGGGATAAATTTAATGTGGCTGTGACTTTGTCAAAGTAAACAACGATGCGTGCTCGGTTGAGTTTCAGCTAGTTTTCCAGCTTAACGTACATTTGTTTGTGTTGTGCTTTCGAGATTTTGAAATCTGGTAATGTTTGGAATAGGAATTTATATACCAAGTTAATATGGCTTCGATTGTTTTAGATTTCTGATTTGCTTTAAGGCTTATTGTTTCTAAATGCAGTGTGTTTGTAGGAGTCGGTTGAGTTTAGCTCTTGTAATATATATTCATTGCGTATAGTTTTTTTTTTTTAAATATACTTTCTATTAGTTTATACTGGAAACGATCGATACAATCTGATACTTGTTAAATTAAAATTGTGCACTACTCCGGAAGTGTAGATGTGGGTTTGGTTCTAATTAATGAATGTTCGTTTGAATTCGTTTGAAAAACTTGAATCGTTAGAATAGAATTAATTTCTGTTTTTTTAACTTAACTTTTAACATTTTCTTTTTCTTAACGGCTCTTTAATTAGGTTTTCTCCATATTTTTTTCTTATTATAAATTCACGCAAATCCATGCAGTTTAGATATTTACGTCATGAAACTATTACGGAAGAATTAGCGAGAAATATTCAAACCAAAGTATAATATTGAATCAGAATCAGTGTGGAGCCCGTAATGGGACGACACAGTATGTGGTTGAAATTCAATTTCCTATTGAGTTAGAACTAAATTTACTGCGGATAGATTCATTTCACATTAATAACTTTAGTTCTCACATTGCAAAAATAATATTTATTAATAATTCTTTCTTTACGCGAATATACAGATAAATACAATTTAATTGTCTGTTTGTAATGTCAAAATAATAGCTTTTTACTAAATGCATATGAAAGTATATAAATTTTTATCTGTCTGTTTGTTCCGAATAATCTCTGAAATGACTAGACCAATTATGATAGGACTTTCACTGGCAGAAAGTTGTTGCTATAAGGAGTAACTTAAGCTTTTATTTTTTGGAAAAAGAATTAGAGTTCTGGACAAAAAAAATTAAAACTCATGAAAACGGGACGTATCCGAGCGAAACGAGAGTAAGCCGCTAATTTTAAATAAAACTATCTTTTCGGATTTTGTCGAGAGAGACTCCCGTGACCATGACTGCTGTAAAGCATTCGATACCTTGATAACCAAAAAACAAAATAAATCCGAAAAGACAAATTTATTTTAATTTGGTTTAATGTTTATTTATGTAATTTATTTAATTATTTTATGATCTTCTGCTATATTTAATAGTTTTGTTTCCAATATAATAGCAAGCGTACGATACTGAAACTTTACTGAGCGTTTTTATTGAATGACTGAGTTTTCCGTCATTTTGATGGGTTTTTGTTGGATTAAATAATAGTATTCTATATATACATATTTTTTTTGAGAATTATTTCGCGTAATTAAATATGGTAATTATAACTGTAAATAAAAATGTACGGAAATTATTTTATAGTGTACATCATAAAGAAGAAATGAAAAATGGTCAAATAATAAACTTCAAATCTACATATTACAAAAAGAATTCGCTTTGTTTTATCTCATCTTCAGATATCAGCAAAAAATCATTTAAAATATTGTGAATTATACATAGAAGCTTATATTATGTATAACTTTACATTTCTTTAATTTATATAATCAATAATTGTTATTTCTCGACTTTGCCGACAGGTGGCGTGGATACACATAGATAGACAGATGATACTCACGATCCACCGACACGTAATCACTCGTCTGGCCAGGTTCAGCGTGTCACACGACAATGCCATGACTTGGCTCCTCCATGTGAGCCAAGTTCAGCAAGAAGATCGAGGGTACTATATGTGCCAAGTTAATACCAACCCAATGATCAGCCAAGTTGGATATCTACAAGTTGTTGGTAAGTTTTATAGTCATAGTAATTTATCGATATTCCTATAATGCTAGAGTTGTTTTCGTAACTTGCCTTGACTAGGTGATATCAGAAATATATTATCGTATTAACATACGTAGGCATATTGTCTTGTTGTCACAAGGTTAAATTGTTAGTAGTAAAAAAATATATACTTTGATATCTACATAATATATGTATATATTTTTTTAAATATCCTGTTTATCCTATCCTTTCCTTTATAAGTTTAATTCCAAGAGTTTAACACCTCCAGGTAAATTTCTAAGAAAGTAATTAAATTTCTAAGAAATCTATTGATAACTGTAACGCCGGCGTGTCCGCGGTCGTGGTGGGATTAAAATTGAAAGAAATTGAATAGCTAGGAATATAAGATTTTTTAAGCAACTGTAATGGATTATTTAAAATTTTAAATAAATATGTTAAGTATGCTGGAACATTAACACACAAAACCATCTAGTTCCATAGTAAGCTACGTGGATTGTATTATAAATACCAAATACGCTACACATATATAACTTTAAATACATACATATTACATATTATAAATATAAACACCCATGACCGTGGTACAAAAAATCGTCCAAGAGTCGACAATCGTGCTTACCATACAAATGAATCCCCCCAGCGGGACTCGAACCCGTGACCGCTGGCACTACAAACAGAGCCAAACGTATCGCCAGACTTTTTAACCTTTTTTTGTTAAGTTTACCTTGAGATACATTACAATTCAGAAAATAAATGATGTAAATAATGAAATTATTGCTGCTAGAATAATTCTTATTCATTTTAACATAAAAAAGAAATATACTAAACATTAAACATTCGTAGACATTTTGTCGGGAGAAAGAGCCCTGTATTCTAAAAACGTAGGCGTGGGGGGTCCCAAACCAGCGATTTGGGGCAGCTAAGTCTTTTTATACGACCACAATTTCGAACAAAGTTTTAAGTGGAAATAAAAAAGAGGGTTTTGTGTCACTTCTCACCCGCAGCACGTTGCAGATACTTTACATCCATTCGATCGTACTCAAAGTTGCCAAACGATTGGACTTTAATAAATTATTTATTAACTCGCCCAAGTTTCCTCGTTAAATGCTTTAAGAAATGTGTTTCTTGATTTCAAAGGCTTGTTTCTAACAAGTTTCCCTATTAACTTACAATATTTTCTATTTGTTTCTTGCTAATACTGAAATGAATTATACTAACTTTATGAAATTAATTTAAGTTTAGAAGTATGTAAATCTAAGAAGAATATATCACTTGGTTTCACCTGCGGCTGGGCTTGTATTTTAGGTGAATAAAATGTTACTTAGAGATGCTATCGATAGATATAGGTACGAGTAGCTTTCAATTATGCTTAACTTTTTCCCTGTGTACAAAAATATATAAAGAAATTTCACTCTTTACAACGGACCTATATAGTACATTTCGAGTGAGTTAAATATTCAGAGCTTAGAATCTCAAGTTAAGTACAAGTGGCAGCATCTGGAAACGCTCATGTTTTTAAACTAGCCTCAAAAATTGAGCCCACAACTTAAAAAAAATATGAGTAAGTAACTAAAGCATTGATACTCACACCGCATGCAAAATTATTGTAGATATTTTGAAACAAAGTTCTACAAATTGGTATAGCATTCAAAGGTACAAAGTATACAAGGGTTTCATACTCACGTTTTAAATTCACCTATTCTTTAAAAATTCTCGTACCGCAAACTTGCACGATTGTACAGTAACTGCTGAAATATCACGTCCCACTGGAATTTAGAGTTCTTGAGATTTTCATCCGTGAAACTTTAAGCAGCGATGTAAAGGGAATAAAAGCTAAATTTTATCAACTTTAAAATTTCAAATTCTTACACAGCTAGTTTCTGGGTATATCAAAAAGGAATTTATCTGTAGTGAATGCACGATTTTATTTCAATTTTTCTTTAGACCCTGTTTCGTATTGATTGACGACCACCTTTGGTCGTAACAGGCGTGTGGATAATACTACAACAATATGTTTTAATAAGAAAAATGTTATATAATTAGTAAATATTATATAATTAGTAGATACTTCTTATTTTTTAAAGCCGGAAAATATACATTAGAAACTATTATTACTATTTAGCAGGCAAATTATTTTATTACAAATAATAATGTCAATAAGGAAAGCCCGAAGGTAGCCCTCGAATCTGAAATCATATCAGCTGTCCATTTATAGTTTAGCTGACTAGCGAGTAGCGACTCACCCTCGCTTCGGATGGGTTTGTCACAAGCTTGCTTAAACTTTTGCAATACAAATTTTCATCCCCATTTTCAATCCCTTAAAAGATGATTTCCGGGATAAAAAGTGTCCTATGGCCGTCCCAGGGTCTCAAACTATCTTCTTACGAAATTTAATCTAAATCGGTTCAGTAGATCCAGAGATCCTACAACGTCACGAATTCACAAACTTTACCTCTTTATAATATTAGTATAGATTAACTCATCCGCTAATAACTTTAAAAAAATCATATAAATAATACTAGCGGCTCAACCTGGTTTCACTCGGATTCGTCGCTAGAAAAACAAAAACAAATGCATCCCACTAGAACCGTACATTTTTCCGCGATAAAAAGTAGCACATAGTTAACAGATAGTATTACACATAGTTATTCTGATGTGTGAGCTATATTATTGTAAAGTTTCATTAAAATCCATTCAGTAGTTTTTGTGCGAAAAAGTAAGAAATATCCATACATCTGTATATCCAGACATCAAGACATCGATACAACCTCACAAACTTTCAAATTTACATATAATATTAGTAGGATAATAGCGTTAAAATATTTTCTTGACAAAAAACAACTGGGATATCATTTAAAATTTTATTTTATGTATCTAATATGAATAATTTAAGACGTATACGTCGTAAAACGTTTTTTACGACTTTATTAAAAATACTTACTGTGTCAACAAACTTTTATTTTTGTCCCGCGAGAACACATTATTTTTGAGTTGGGTAATAAAATAATACTAAAATAACCGCGTACTTATTATACTAATTATATACTGTTTGTATTACATAATATAATTATGTTATCTATAGGTACAAATAAATAAAATTTAAGTGTCTGTTTGTATTGTCAAAATAATAGCTTTTTACTAAACGCATATGAAAGTTTGTACTTTATTTATAAGAAAAAAAAAAAAATATTTATGAATTCAAAATGAAATAAAAGCCGTTTATGAGTTACGGAGGAAAACGTGTACGGATAGATAGGTATTTTGTTTAATACCATGAGTTTTAATTATTACTTCATGTAGCTAATTGGTTTTAAAATTGTAAATTGTTTTCAGTGAGATTCGTTGAACTATAAAAAAATATGAAAATATTCATATTTATTAGAGATATAAAGAACAATTTTAAATTATTCTCTATTCGAGACACTCTTATTTATTAATGACCTGCTTTTAATACCATTATTTAAAACTAACGACTCATCCTAATTTCGCTCAGGTTCGTTCCTAGGTGATTCTTTGAATTGATATAACTTTTTTATTTATGGACCGATTGGAATAAAACATATACTAAATGTTAAGTGAAGTTTACCACAATACATTAATGAAAACCTCACCCAAATCCGTTTAGTTGTTTCTGAGATAAGCGCGCACAAACGCACAGACAAACAAACAAAAATTCTAAAAATCATGGTTTTGGGTTCTATTGCCTTAATAAAGACCCAATAATAGTGTTTCTCAAATATCTTCCATGTACAGATAGCGATTAGTTACACTTTTATTATATGTATAGATCTACACATTTTCTTTCTTAGCGATTGTATACATTAAAACACCATAAAATTTAATTTCCATATGTTATCATGCAAATTAATTTACATTTAAGTTATTTTATTTGTTAGTTACATACGATACGAAAATGCTGAGTAAAACTGCCGAAGAACTGTTCGCTGCATAATATATTCATACTAATCTCAGTAAAAGCGGTTTCAATTAAATTTTCAAAACACACAATCTTCTTGCTGACAAGACGTACCTATTCATTAAAGCCAGATATTGTAAATAAAAAAAAACTTTTTATTCGCACTGACTTTATCCGGAATGAATATTGATGCGTCCGCGAGTTTAATATGAATATTGATGACTAATTTACTAAAATAATTTGGTGCAGTTTCGGAACAAACCGCAAACGCCGGAGAGGTATAGCGTTGCCTAAATAAACCTGCATTTTAAATGAATTTCATCGTACGTATATATGTACATACATATGTATATACATATATATATATATATATATATATATATATATATATATATATATATATATATATATATAAAATAAAGTTTTAAAATAAACATTTTTTTAATATTTAGTATGAAGAAGATATTTGGGATGTGTAATTAAACAATCTACATTTATTGTCTTTATTTGTTTAAAAATGGCGTGATAGATTACAATGGGACCTTATGTTCTAAATATTTTATTTAAATACAAATATATTCACAAAAATATAACTAAAATTCATGTCACGTTATAGGTCTAGATTGAGCTTTACGTTTATAATACAATTCATATATGATTATCATATATAAAAATTACATCTTAATATTTAAAGTTCGAGGCAATGATAGCCTAGTGGTAACGTTCTCTTGGAAAACCGAGTGAACCGGGTTCAAATTCCGTCTCTCGCACTTGTTATATTTATTGTGCGAATCATTTCCAAACTGAGGAAACCTGCACGTCTAAAAGAAACTAGCAAGTTTTCAAACGACATATGAATTCCACCAACCCGTATTTGGCCAGTGTGGTGGAGTATGGCCTGATCCCCCTCATATTAAGGGGAAGCCTGTGCCAAGGAATGGGATGGTAATAAGGGCTAAATACATACATATATTTAAAGTTTATTCACATTTACTATGAAGCTATAAGTCAAAAACTATAGGCTTTAAAAACTACGAGTTTCTTACTATTTCTACATGTTAATGTAGAAAAATTTATTTTACTGTAAGAACTGATACTCGTTACACTGTAATATTGCACGTCGTATAATATTTTCTTGTATATAAAATATTAGTTTTTGTCAACAGTACCACCAAATATATTAGATGAAGACAGTACACAGTCAGCGGTCGCAGTGCGGGAGAACCAGAACATAAGCCTCGTGTGCAAAGCAGATGGTTTCCCCACGCCCAAGATAATGTGGAGACGAGAAGATGGTCAGCCCATATCTGTGGATAGAAGAAAAAAAGGTAAAAATATTATTACTGCATCAGTTATATAATTAATAATATTTATCGCAGTATGGTATATGTATGTCGAAAAAACTAGCTTTTGTCCATTTCAGTATATCTTGTCCACTTTTTTTATTCAAATTCATTGAGCCGTTTCTTTTAAATGCCCACCTTTGGCGTTCTTATTCAGAGAATTTTAACTTATTGTATGGTGAACAAAAGTTATGAATAAAGATCATAGCGGCCTCCATTTTCGATAGACATAAATCCAAAATTTCAAAGCAAGCGCCGGCACTTTTTCAAGCTCATGGATTGAAATACTATCCTAAGGAAACGAAATAAGAAATATAATATAATAAAATCTCGTATATAGTGGTTGATTTTATAGCGGCCTCGGAATTTGAAAATATGTATTGGATTTCTACAAAATAAAATCCTTTTGAAAATCCTAAAAACTTCTGAAAACGTTCAGAATTAGCTGTAAATATATCCTTACAACATTAATATTATTAAGTATTTTTTTAAAACAACTTATTATAAAACTTTGCATAAAAGTAATTACAACTGCACAAAACGCTATAAAATGCGATGCGTCGGCCGCTCGAACTCAGTGCCGTAAAACTCGTACATTTTGTGATAGGCCTCTTAAAGTTATAATAAAAAAGTACAAAAAAAAAAATAAAAGTTCAAATAAAAAATTCCAATAAATTAATCGTGAGAATATTTGAGTTTATTTTGCATCTGAGACTCACATTTATAAAATGTTTATAAAATATGCTGAATGGATATTTTTGGCTTTTACTTTTGTAATTATCAAAAGACGACCGTCTCACGTATTTTAATATTTTAATTATCTTAACGGTAAATGAACTTCGTTCATTGTCGCGAGTTCAATTCTCGGTGACTTAATTAATATATTTGATCATACTCATATTATTATTGTAATTGAACAAGTACCAATATACCTCATCCTATTTTTGTAAAAATTATAGATCGGTATCAGATTATATAAATCCTTTTTGCCTCAAATATAGTTAAGAAAATAAAATAATTAAGTATATATACGTGCTTTACAGTACAGTAGTTTACAATGATTATATAAAAATAAAAAAAATAGAAATAATACTGTACCTATATTCTAAAAGCTGCACAAAGATAACAATAATTAGCCCTATCTCTTGCAAAACAATCTTCTTGAAAACGCCACTATTTCAAATTTCTAAGTATTTAATAACGTGCTTCGGAATGAAATATCAAAATTTGCTGCATAGTTTCTTTGAAGTTCCATAACGCCAGTGCACAACTAAATGCATAGAAGCCACATCCATTATATTTTCTACTTAAACGGGACTTAGCGGTAAATTGCTGTTAGAATTCAATTTGTATATGAGAATGTTGTTGACACGATAATTAGCCAGAGGTCCGAAGCCTTTTTGAGCTACTAGAATACCCGGTTAGATAATAAAATGCAATCAATCCCTTGGTCGAAAAATTGAGTTTTATATGAAGTAGGACTTTCTTTTAAAGGCAGAATTAACGCGGTGAAAGGCACTCGACGATAATTGTGTGACCCCTGCCCTCGAATGTCACACGCACGATGATTACTTGTGGATCGTCACCACCACATGTTTTAATTACGCGTCCAAAACTGTTCTACGTTCCAATTCTGTACGTAAAGTCCTTTGTTCGTTTTTGAATCGGCTTTACGGAAAAAGGATCTCATATATATGTTTTGAATGATTTTGTTTGAATAGCTTATTGTAGATACATATTTTGGTGACTAAAAATAAAGGTTTTATATCGGGAAAGATTCATTGAATGGTATTTATGATATTTTTTAATATTTTTTGATTCAATAACTAAAACTGTTGCGTATTTTAAATTGAAGTTTAGTTTTATCAAAATTAAAAAGTTTTAATCTAACAGAATGATTTATGTGTCTGTCTGTCTTTTATCTATACATATAATAAAACTGTAGAGGTCGAATGTTTGTGTATAAAAAAAAAGAGAAAAAAGCAAAATCAAAAATTTTGAAAAAAACCCACGACGATTAAAAAGTACTTAATTGAAAAGGATAAAATAATTTAAAAACCCCCGACTTAAAAAATAAATGTAACGCGAGATAATAAACGTAAAAAAAATTTATAAGTAGAATAATTTGATCTCTCGCGGAGTTCAGTTTTCATAGCATTTCCCTACAATCGGTCAACATTTTAAATACTTTTCATCCCGGAAAATTGAAGAGTTCCCGTGGGATAGTTAAAAAACTATAGTAACTTATATAGCCTAGTATACAAAAACTACTGATTGGATATTAATGAAACTTTACAATAATATACTTCATACATAAGAATAACAAATAGGCTACTTTTTATCCCGGAAAAATATACGGTTCCAGTGGGATATATTTGTTTTGTTAATCTAGAGGCGAACCCGAACGAAGCGAAAATGGCAAAAGATTTTTATTTATAACTAAACTGAAGAAAAACAAATAGCATAAGGAATTTGAAGAAAAACTATAAATATTACATCACACATGATAGATATTCTGATACAAATTATCGGATTTCACCTAAATTTATTCAAGCGTTATAACTTGAAGAACTAACAACTACTTACTTTCTTACTCACTCACTAACTCACTAACTGTCATATATAGAATATTACTTAGTGTCAAAAGAGCAATTTTGAAAGTGTTAATTCTTTGTTTGCGATACCGATGCAGTTTTATTGGGAGCGTTAATGGAAAGAGTTGGTTCGAAGTGGATGAAAGCGTTTGCGATTTAAGGCATGGAACGTTTGACTCCATTTTACCGCTCGGAGCGTTTTAAGGGCCTATTCATTAGATGGTTTTACAATTTCATCCGGCAATATCGCGCTTACTACTAATACTTTTGAATTAAGCTATAAAATATATTACATTCAGGTAGAAAGAGTGGTAGTAATTCGTGGTAATTTGTTAAGATCTGTTATATAATATTAATGTAAATTAATTTCGCCCTCTTTCTACACCCCACACTGAGCACGGGTGTCTATCTGAAAGAGGAGGACTAAGCCATAGTCCATTACACTGACCAAATACTAGTTGGCAAAATACACATGTTACGGAAACTAATTATCTTATCTACTTTTCTTTACAATATTAGACAGTAATAACTATGTCGAAAAATGTATATGAAAATCTGATAGGTAGAGACGCGGGTTCGAACCCGCTTTAGGTACGTGTCTTTTCAAGCAAACGTGTTACCAATGTGTTATTACAAGCAGTAGTTTTAGTCGTGGTTTCCAATTGTTAGAAATTTTAAATTAATTTTGATGTGTCATCATTACTAAATACAAAAAATTGTAATAGCTTTTTAATTTATCGACTCAATATAATGGTTTATATAGTTTATGGGTCGGAGAGTCTCCTAGGCATCCACATCTTGGTAGGTATATCTAATAAATGACATGGAAATTATCCATCTATAATAATATTATAAAGAGGTAAAGTTAGTGAGTTTGTGAGATTGTGAATTTGTGACATTCCAGGGGGTAATCTCTGGATCTACTGAACCGGTTTAGATGAAATTTGGTAAGAAGATATTTTGAAAACCTGAGGAAGACATGGAATACTTTTTATTCCGGAAATCATCCCTTAAGGGGGTGAGGGTATGAAAGTTTATATGGGGAATCAAGGTAGGGACGAATCCGAGCGATGCGAGGGTGAGCTGCTAGTACATATAATAAAATTTTAACTGAGTCGAATCTGTATATTAAATATTTTTTGGGAAATATTTAGAAATAGTCATTTTTATCGATACGAATCTGTAGTTTTTAGAATGTTTGTCTGTCTTTCTGTCTCTCTGGGAACGCATCACGAGAAAACCACTCAACAGATTTTGATGAAATTTGATATAATGATAGATGGTTATTCAGGTCAACTTATAGGGTACTTTTTTCTGCGAAAAAATATCTCATTTCTGAGAAATCTATACTAACCGTTAAAAAGTACCTAGGAGCAAACCCGGTGGAACCCTAGGTGCGAGGGTGAGTCGATAGTGTTACTATATATAAATAATAATAATATAAAGTTACTGATAGACATGCATATTTTACTTCTATCTAGCGAAATTCATTACATTGTGATTTTTATTCAAAAACCGCTACAAATATAATCTTTTGTTAATAAGTTTTTTATTCTGCGCTTTTGTACCTTTTATACACTTCCTTGTTCCAACCTTATCTTGTCTAAGAAGTGAATTAGCTTTCGAGATGAAACTTCCACGAAAAGAGAATTTTTCAAAATGGATATTATGTTAATTTAAAAGCTTTTCAAATATAAAAAAGAATATATGTATATCTTAAACTAAAGTACACGGTATCATTACTATGATAATATTTAAAAAATCTGTATCTATTTCACAGACACAAAATATAACCATGTGTTTTTCCTTTCCGGGATTAAAAAAGCCTATTATCCCTCTAGTATAAATACTGTATCCGCCAATAAACACTCATAAAATATGTTGTCAAATCCAATCAAGTGATGAACATTTTTACGGTGGTTTAGGATTCGGTTCCGTACAAATTAAATGAACCCAATATTGGGTAGCTATTTTCAAGTAAGAATGTTAAATTATAATTTTAGTTATATATACAAGTAAATGCACTGTTAACATTCATACTATCTAACACATGTAATTCGATCATATCTATACTAATATTATAAAGAGGTAAAGTTTGTGATCTTGTGAGTTTGTGAGTTTGTGACTTTGTAGGGGGTAATCTCTGGATCTACTGAACCGATTTTCAAAATTCTTTTAGCAATAGAAAGCCACGTTCTTTTTGAGTGTCATAGGCTATATATTAACTCGAAAAATGAATAGGCTTTTTCGTGGTAGTCGGATTTGCATAGTAAGTCGGAGAAAAAACGGTCGAACGAAAACGTTTCTTACGAACGCTGCCTTAACGATGAGAGATACATGATTATGTTCTAGAGAAAAGTTGTAGAGCTTAATAATGCCTACAAAAAAGTCAGCGACAGCATATGTCTAACTTTTATATTTAAGTCACAAAAAGTAGTTTTTTATATTAAAAAAATAATTTAAATCGGTAGGTCATGTTTATTGGTCATATTATAAACAATTATGAATTCTTATCAAAATAAATAAATTTATCGTCTAAAATGTTTAAAACAAAAGACTTTTCCCTTTTACTGCATATAATTTGGACAAATGGTTAAAGAGATAATACAACATATTCGTTGGTATGGACGAACCCGAGCGAGCTGTTTGTCTGTTTTCCTGTTTGTACGGGCTAATCTCCGAATCTATTGGACCGATTTAAATGAAATTTTGCATGGTGGTACCTTATATCCCTGGCCAACATCTTAGATACTTTTAATCCCGGAAAATTAAATAGTTCCCGTGCGATAGTTAAAACACTATAACAACTTATACAGCTTAGTACACAAAAACTACTGATTGGATTTTAATAAAACTTTAAAATAATATAGTTCATACATGACAATACCAAATCGGCTACTTTTAAATCCCAGAAAATTAAAGGGTTCCCGTGGGACAGTCAAAAAACTATAGTAACTTATACAGCTTAGTACACAAAACTACTAATTGGATTTTGATGAAACTTTACAATAATATAGTTCATACATCAGAATAACAAATAGGTCACTTTTTATCCAGGAAAAATATACAGTTTCCGTGGGATAGTTGTTTTCGTTTATTTGTAACGTATTATGTACACAACATAGACCCCAAAACAATAGTTATTAAAAAAAATGTCTGTTTGTCTGTTTGCCTATATGTCTATTTGTCTGTTTTTGTATGCGCGTTTCACGGGAAGATACAATAACTGGTTTTATCGAGTCCTCCCTAGAAACCTTCCGCTGGCTTAACCTTAAGACATACATCAAAACAATATACTAAAAAATTGTAGGCCTTGAAAAGTCCTACAGGAAAGTTCTAAATAGTATATGTATATCTCCTAAGCAATATCTATTCTTATCTATACCTATAATAAAACTAACTTAGTCAAATCGATGTGCGCGTTTTACGCAAAAAGTACTGAACGAATTTTAACTAAATTTTGTATAGTGATAAATTAGTACTCGGGTCAACATTTAGGATACCTTTTACGACAGGCAAATTATTCATTCCCACGGGAAAACTCAATAACTGGTTCTATCGAATCGTCCTTAGAAATTTATATGGCTAACGTTTGCTCAACCTTAAGATATAGATGAAAACATTGTGCAAGAAAATTGTAAGTCTTAAAAAGGTCTATAGAAAAGTTCTACTTATTATATGTCTATCTCCTAAGGTACACTCGCTTTAACTATTTTAATTATTATATATTACTTTTTTATTATACGTTATTTATTCTATACGTAATAAAACTGTAGAGGTTAGAAAAAATGCTAAAAACCGAGTCAGTTCTCTTCTTACATCCCGAAAGAAGAGAAATAGAACAAATCCAGTTTTTTTTTTCAATTTTTTTGTTTCTCTGTCTGTTTGTCTGTTTGTACGGGCTAATCTCCGAAACTATTGAAATGATTTAAATGAAATTTTGCATGGTAGTACCTTATATCTCCGGTCAACATCTAAGATACTTTTCATTCCAGAAAATTAAAGAGCTTATACAGTTTAGTACACAACAACTTATGCACCTAATTTAGTAAAATTTGGCATGCTGATACCTTATATTCCCGGTCAAACAATAGGTTACTTTTCATCCCGGAAAAATGAACGGTTCCCGTGGGATAGATCTGTTTGTGCTTTTCTAGAGGTGAACCCGAGCGAAGCGAGGGTGAGCCGCTAGTATTATATATCATCAGAATCGCATTCGGTCATTTTATCGATTATCGATGTCGAATACAAAAAAAACACTCTTCACAAACATACAAAATACCTATAATTATAATAAAAATAATATAAATATTAAATATATAAATTAGTTTCAACCATTTGGTTGTAGAACCATTTAATAATTTAGGTCGTTTGGTTGGAATGTAATGGCTGCAAAATGTAGCGTCTAACTCTAAAATAAATAATGGTATGCAAAGCCAACTTAACTGTGTAATTGCCAAATATATTTAAGCCACCGGAGACATATTTTGTAGAGATCTAAAGATAAATTTTGAAACAATATTATTCAGAAGCATTAGCTTTATAGTATTTGGCATTTCGATACTAATTATATTTTGAGATTAGATATCAAAACTTTAAATTAAATATCGATTCAACGTGACGATTAAAAAATACATGTTAATATAATATTATTTATAAGATACTTAACATAAATCTTTAATAAATTAATTAGAACGTAAGTCAAAAACGGCTTAATGATAAGATTCAAATCCGTTGCAATATCCGTTTTAATATTATAAATGTAAATTTTTTTAAGGATGAAAGGATGGATGTTTGTTACTATTTTATGCAAAAATCACTAAACAGATTTTAATGAAACTGTACAGTAATATAGCGTATACATCAGAGTACTATAATTTTTAAGGATACAGTAATTAACTGTATACTGGTACATATATAAATATTATAATAAAAGGAATTAAATATAAGCCGCCTAAGTCGCAAGCAAAATTTAGTGATATGATAAATTAATCAAGGTTTCACAAAGCGTTACCGCATATTTGGCATATTATACATATTAAGGCATTGATTACTCGTGTTATCTGCAGACTAATGTCTCGAAATGGTGTATTTTCGTTATGATTTTGCCTTCAAAGTTTATTATAGGAATATTCTATTTTATCACCAGTTATTCTAAACAATAATAATAATTAGTTTATATTAGTTAATATCGACTTTCCAATAATTGAAAATGTATAATTTACGACAACGACATTTACATAACAAAAACAAATCTGTCCAACGGGAACCGTATATTTTCGCGGAATAAAAAGTAGCCTATGTATTATTCCAGATTATAATACTATTCCAGATTATAATCTATCTCTGTGCCAAATTTCATCTAGATCCGTTCAGCCGTTCTGGCGTGTTTGAGTAAGAAACATCAATCTAAACTTTCACATTTATAATATTAGTAAGAATTAGTAATAACTAAAGTAATACTTAGGAAGATATTTAATTAATTATGTTACGTTACTGTAATAATTAATGATATGGCTACACACTACCCACTCACCCTCGCTTTACTCAAGCTTTACTACATATTGCATATTCTTTAGCACTTGTGAGGATAATATTAATTTCCCACGGGAATACTTAATGTGACGGGATCAAAAATAGTCCTTGTCGAATTCTCCGTATATCACAATCTAATATAATATTTCATTAACTACATATTAATGTGTACTTTTAGTTTTTTTTTTGACGTCGGTTTGGGTAGCGGAAAGTCTATACTAGAAAATCAGAGTGCTTTTATCATCTTATAAGGATAAGTTTGGACATTGTCATCACTTAAGCCAATTTGATAAGTTAAGTATACGTATAGTATTATATGATCTGTGGTTAAACACAATATCCACAAGAGATCGTAGTCAGTTGCGTAATTAAAAAAAATGAGATATTTTCCAAATAAAAGAAATAATTTTATAATTTTATCTATATTATATATTATTTGTTGTATATTATATGTAATTGAACGCATATCTTAGGCCAGTCCTAATATATCCTTCCGGGAATATATTACTCTGTGCCATTGTCTTATTTCCTAGATTTATTAAAACCCAAAATGATCCCAAAGGTACTTTAAAAATGGGACCTTTGTGGGATCACCAACCGCTGTCATTTTGATCTTCTTCTAAACTTGCATTGTAAATTCAAATAAGGAGTCCGATGAAGTAATTGATTAAATGATTGATTAAGCATTTCGCAATAAAACTCTATTTTGTGTTACTTAAAATAACATGGGAACTATAATTTGAATAAAACTTTAATTAGTTATCTATATACTCTTATGTTACGATATTCAGCTCCAAATATCAAAAACCTGACACTTTGGTGCCTCATGTCATCGTCCCAAATATTAGGGTAATACTTTATTTAAAAAACAATATTTAAAAACATTTTATTTAAAAAAACCGAAAAGATGTATTTTTCGGATATAATTATTTGTATTGAAGAGTGTTTATACCAGGTTTCAAGTAATTCTGACCATAAATATTTTTTTTGGATTGTATTATAACGTGTTTTCCCGTGGGAAAGAGATAATTTCCCGCGGTAAAACGTAGCCTATGTCACTCTCCAGCCCTCCAACTATCTCTACACATAAAATCACTCCAATCCACCAAGCCGTTATTACGTGAAAGAAAGACAAACAAACAAACACACTTTCACATTTATAATATTAGTATGGATTGTAATTAAGTGTCATATGCACTTATTATTTCTTATTTTACTCGTAATACTTACTCTATGTATTATTTAATTTTGGAAATTTAATTGGTCAGTGTTTTATTTCTTATGTTTTGTTTTTTTATTGTGTTACATTTAACTGTCTGTAAATTAAATAAAATGAAATAAATAAATAAATGATTGTAGGTTTTTAACTTGTCTAAGGGTGTTGTTTAGCAAACTTTTACCCCTTACTTCAGGGTTGCGTTCATTCATCGTTGATAATAAATAGGAACTATCCAAAAGATATATACATTGTAAATATTTGTTCCAGTAACAGTATACGAAGGCGACACGTTGAGCTTGCAACGCATCAGTCGCACTGAGATGGGAGCGTATCTCTGCATCGCGACAAACGCTGTACCGCCGTCTGTGTCTAAGAGGATCATAGTGGATGTTGAATGTAAGTTTAATAAGTATTCTTATTATTTAATACTAGCGACTCACCCTCGTTTAGCTTGGGTTCGTCCTTAGGTACGTTTTAACGGTTAGGGTGGGTTACATGTTATATGTACTAGGATATATAGTCTATAGCCTTCCTCAATAAACGGGCTATCTAATGCAAAAATATTTTTTCAAATCGGATTAGTAGTTCCTGAGATTAGCGCGTCCAAACAAACAAACTCTACCCCTTTATAATATTAGTATAAATATAGTTATATATGTGATGATTTCAGACTTGGATCATGAAAACATTATTTCGAAAATATGCCAATTTGAATAAAATATGTCAACACCGAAAAAGTGTAATTAAAAGTTCGCGATATACATTTAGTTTTGCGTCGAGGATCAAGTTATAATTGACCTAAGTAACAGTGTTAGTGATAAAGGACGTACAATTTAAATTAGAATGAATTTCGATAGGTGTATCTTCTAATAAACAATATTACAATCCACTGGAAGAAACTTTAGCATACCCGTGACCATGAATGGCGCTTGGAACAGTCTCAAAATATATAGAAGTTATAAAATTAAAGTAAATATTTAATAAATAACTACATTTTAAATTATATAAAAAATTTCAAGTGCCCATGACAGCTTAAACACTTACAATTCTTAATAAAATTGTAAATTAAATTAAATATGTTGGGACATTAACACTCAGCACCATCTAGTACAATGTTAAGATACGAGGCTTGTGTTATGGATACCAGATAGTTTATATACTAGACATATATAACTTTAAATACATACATATTATAAATTTAAACACCGATGACCGGAGTACAAACATTCGTGCTCATCATACAAATGGATGCCACCAGCGAGACTCGAACCCACGACCGCTAGCACAACAAGTATCACTACAAACTGAGCCAAACGTGTCGTCAATTGATATTAATGTAGGTGTAATAAACTATAATTTATATATTATAGACAAAATTTGTCTGTATGTTTAAGAAAAAAAGATCATTTTTGAACAGCAAATTACAATATTGTTTTGTTTAAAAAATAATCTAAATCATAATCATAAGAACAATTCAACGCCATTGAAGCATCATCATTCAATTAAACTTTTTTATCTACAGACGGCGGTGTTTTCAAAGATTTTTAGATTCCCCTTTATTTTCGCTTCTTATTACGACCAGCTGACTAAATAAGATGGCGGCCAGTGATAATTGAAAGATAATATTTTTCAAAAGGTGCACGTCTTCGAGACTGCAGACTCTGATCTTAGAACATCCTTTTATGCAAAATCAACAGGACGAACAAATATTTTTCTTTAAAAGTTATCCAACGGTATGTTCAGGTTAAAATTTGTTTGGAATGGGAAGTTACTTTGGATAAATATTAAAATTTGAATAGACTGTTTAGAAGTTTAGTATTATTTTGTACTAATAAATATTGTTATTCTAACATTAGATTTGGGACAAACCACTATCCCACTGGCAACTAATATTCCAATCCTTTTACCGGGATAAAAAGTATCCCTTATCACACTAATTAGCCTATCGTATATTTCTATGTTAATTATAACCTTTTTTGATTCGTTGCTTCGAAATTAACCAATCAACCATTACATCCACACCAAATATTTAACATTGTATCAAATATTAATTACAAATTTTAATATATATTTCTAAAGCATTATTTATATGAACTTACTATTTTTGTAGCTAGTATTTGACGAAAATTGTGTGAAATTATATTTTAATTTTGTTTTATATTCACATCAAACCACAGCGTGAAGTTAAAATAATAACTAAACATTTCTTCGCTGGCTGTTAATATAGCTATAGAACTGAAAGCTCGACGTTTAAGAAAAAGTAAAGAAAAGTTCAAATGCAAATGGCGCTGAAAGAAAGGGCTAAAGCTAGCAAAGGCTATTTTTATTGAAATCAGAAATCAAAGCTATCGTTTTCTTGAACCCGCTTTATATTCTACAGATAATGTTAACTTTACGTACTCGAATGGAATCAAAAAATAATAGTTATCTAAACATGTAATAAAATTCTGAGTCGAATCTGTACATTACATAAATATTTTTTGGAAAATTAATATTGATACGGAGGTCGAAGCTATGGTTTTTAGAATTTTCGCCGTCTATCTGGGAACGCATCACGAGAAAACCACTGGACAAATTTTGATGAAATTTGGTATGATCATTATCCGGCTTAACGTATAGGATACTTTTTACTGTGGGAAAATATCTCATTTCTGAGAAATCTATACTAACTGTTAAAACATATTCATTTTGTTTAAAATTTAATTTTTAGTATAGGCAACATTTATGTTATCTTCGTACTCTGTGTTATTCCAATTTTCGTTCGTGAAATCGATAGAAAATGAAAAAATATATATATTTACGGTATATCATAAAGTAAGACGCAAACTCTGAAGTGAAAATTGGTGCTTAGGGACTCAAAGAAACTATATAGCGTGAATACTACGAGTACGTACGATTACTATATGAGGTACATGTTTTTGTTAACTATACGAGCTCTATCTTTGAGAGTTACTTAAAATATGTATGTTTGGCAAAAGAAGCTGTCGAACTGTTTATTATATTTTCATACTTTTGCAAGGGACTTTGCTTTTATTATAAACCATAATTACTTCTTGTATATTTAAGACTAGCATTGCCCGCGGCTTCGCTCACGTTCAGATGACCAAAAACCCGGTTGACCCGGTTCTATCGGCTATACCCAATTTCATCAAAATCCCTCCAGTGGTTTTTATGTGATGCGGTAACAGACAGACACACAGCCAGACAGATAAAATTTCTAAAAACTATAGATTCGGCCTCTGTATCGATAATAATGTTTATTTCAATAAGATTTTCCAAAAAATATTTAATGTACAGATTCGCCATAGTAACAATTTTTATTATATCTAGCTATAGATAACATGATATTTATTATATTATTGACAGACTAGCGTTAGCGTTTTAATGTTTAGCTTAAAGATGATATATTTTCAAGCAGTAAAATGTATCCCATATGTTGACCCGGATAACCAGCTGTCACATACCAAATTTCATCAAAATCTGTCCAGTAGTTTTTTCGTGATGTGGTCACAGACAGACAAAGATTTTAAAACTTTAGATTCGGCCTCTGTATCGATAATAATGACTATTTCAATAAGATTTTCCAAAAAATGTTTAATGTACAGATTGGACTCACAATTTTATTATATGTATAGATTTATTAGTTAGATATGATAATATAGGAAAATAATAATACGACGACATGTAGGAATCAGTTTGCCCTACTTGCTGTGCTAGCAGTCGCGGGTTCGAGTCCCGCTGAACATTCGTTAGTGTGATGAGCACGAATATTTGTACTCCAGTCATGGGTTATATTTATAATATGTATGTATTTATTGTTATATATGTGTAGTGTATCAAATAGATAGATAGATAGATGCTTTATTGTACACCACAAAGAAATATACAAAAAGTAGATATAAACAATAGATGATGCACAGCAGGCGGCCTTATCGCTATAAGCGATCTCTTCCCGGTAACCATAGGGCGTAGGAGAAATTATATGAAATGGTTGGTGGTGTACTTACTACACACAATTGCATATCCTAAATACAGACAAACATAAATACATACATACATACATACATACACACATACATACATACATACATACATACATACATACATACATACATACATACATACATACATACATACATACATAAATGTAGATCAGATGAAAAAGTATAAAAAGTTCAATATAAGACACTATAGAGACAAATAATATGATTTTAACTGTACCTTAAAATTATCAAAACTTTTGGCACGCCTGATGTATATTGAAAGATTATTCCATAAGCGTGCAGCCTTTACTGCGAACGAGTTGGTAAGGAAACAGGAGGAGTGAGAAGGAATTTTAAGCAATAACGTTTCACTAGAGCGAAGTGAAAGAGTATGGGTATCACTCAAAAACTGGAAACGCTCTCTAAGGTAGAAAGGAGAAGAAGGGTAGAACAGCACGCAGTAGAGAAGATGAAGTACATGAGTATTCCTGCGAAGGCGGATTGGGAGCCACTTGAGCTTTTTGCGAAATTCTGAAACATGGTCATATTTACGAAGGCCAAATACGAGTATAAACCGAATACAAATATTTTGAAGCCGCTCAAGTCTATTTAGATGCTCCTCTTTAACGTCAAGATAGCAAATACTTATCTGGTTTCCATAACACAAGCCGTTAGCCGTAGCTTACCATGGAACTAGATGGTGCTGTGTGTTAATATCCCAACATATTTATTTATCTATAAATCTTTTTCCGTAGGATGTTGGTGTTACATACTACGTATACAATAAACATATGACTTCAGGACTGTAATTAGTACTTAGCATTCTTAAATCAATTTGATTCTTCTAAGTTGGTTCTAAGAAAACCCGTAAGGATGTCAATAGTCAATAACGCTTCAAGTAAACTCCTTTCATTTACATAGGTTTTGTTTCTTAAAGCTAATAACAACTTGCTTTTATGCCATACTTTAAAACAGTTAAGGTTGTATACTTTTATGAATATATTAATCAATAAACCTATTAATTAGTAGCCAATTTTCATTTTTTTTTAATTTGTATTTATTATTTTTTCATATAATTTTATATAATCGTAGAACTTTCAGTATCATATTTTACATATTTTTTTCTATACCAAAAGTATATCCAAAAATGTTATAAACTAGCGACTTTCTCTCGTTTCGCTCGAGTTCGTTAGTAGGTATTTTTTTTAAATTGACATACAACCGTTTGAAATAATATAAATATTAAATGTTAAGTGAAGCTTACAATGAACAATACATTAGTGAATTGGTTAAGCCGTTTCTGAGATTAGGGCGCACAAACGCACAGACAAAAAGACAAAAATTCTTCTATGTTACATGTACAAATATTGGTAGTAATACTGTAATTTATAACTTAGCTTTTAAAAAAAGATAACGAAAGTCCCGCTGAGTTTCTTTCACCAGTTCTTCTCAGGTCTGAGGCTTCTTCTTTCCGAACTGGTAGTAGACTTATGACGTTCAGTAAAAAATTGTAATAATTAAATATTTTTAATTTTGATTTTTTAATTATATATATAGATATTTACTATATCATAATAAAGAATTCATATCGCGTTTACTTAAATTAATGTAAATAATAAGTGTACTGTAACATTTAGGTACTCTAAATAAATTCAAACGCGCCACCTAATATATAAAGATAATAAAGAATTTTATTACAAAAAAAAAAGTCTTAAACTTAAACGAAACGCTTTAACCGGGAAAATAATGAAGTCATCTTCTATGCACATAAAGAAAGGTGGACTTAATAAATATTTTAAAACATCGTAGAATATTAAAGTATATCACGAAGCTCGAGTAATATTCGTCCTGAAAATTGCCGTCATAAACTCTGGGAATGTGAATTACGTTTTCAAAGTGTGGATTTTATTATCCGGGGGAGATGTGAGAAATATTCGGCCTCATTCGGCCGAACTCGACTCTATCTATCATTATTGATTATAAATTGCCTCGAGAGTTTCCAGTACTTTAATACTTCGATGCACGCGCCGTCGCGCACTTGTTCTAGATTGATATGATTTATATCTTGCAAGCTCGGGTCATGTCAGACATGGAGGTTGCCTTATCTATATATATATATATATAATAAAATTCTTCTGAGTTGAATCTGTACATTAAATAGATTTTTGGAAAATCTTATAGAATTTATTATTGATACAGAGGCCGAATCTATAGTTTTTTTTATATATATTTTTTTTGAATTTTTGTCTGTCTGTATGTCTATCTGTCTGTCTGGGAACGCATCACAAGAAAACCATTAGACAGTTTGTTTGGGTCAACATTTAGGATACTGCTTACTGCAGGAGCATATCTCATCTCTGAGAAATCTATACTAACCTTTAAAAAGTATCAAGGGAATATGGTTTTTGAGCTAAATTTGAGTATGGCCTCGATTCGAACCTACAAATAAATTAATAAATAATGTAAAATAACTAGTTTTTTCAGTATAAAAGCAGCTGATGTATGATATAAGATCTTGATTCGGAATTTCACTTAAATCCGTTAAGCGGCAAGTTAAGTAACATAAAATCGCAAAAACAGCAATGCGGTAGAAATAAAAAGCAGGTAGTCTAATTTAATGTTTGTATATATAGGTACATTTTGCCATAACTATATTGAAGATATTTTATATTGGTAAATAAGCTTGAAATAAATACATTTATTATTATTATTATTATTATTATATTAAAAGAACTAACAAACAAGCACTCACTCAAACATGTTTGCATTTAAAACGTTAATGTGTGTAAAAAAGTCATGTCTTTTTTGTTAAAACGTGGTATTTTTCAGTAACATATGCAATTTTAGGATACATATTATTATATTTTTCATTATTTTTAACACAAACTCTCCCTTAAAATAAATACCAGTAATAATTTATATGCAAATATTTTTAAACTCAAATTCAAAGTCATTTTAGAGATTTTGCAAAACTTCGAACTCAATGAGAAACATTAAAATCTACAAACTTACTAAAGGAAAAGGTATTAAAGTAATATATAGAAATATATATATTTTTTCTAAGTTAGTTCTTCTTGGTACTCGGCTAGATATAGCATCTAATTCTTGGAAATAAAGTGAACCAGTACAAATTATAAATGTTCAATTACAGCGAGAATCGAACTGATAGCTATAATAAGGAAATCTATATACTCCTATATTTTAAACACCACTTAGCTAATAATCGATAAGAAAAAATAGATTTTATTATATGAATAATTATGGCTATAGCACAAAACTGTACGTGTGTTCAGAATTATTTTATTTATAAACAATCTATGTTTAAATCTTTCAAGAAACATCTTTATTTCACTGCGTTGCAATTGCATTTCACTCGAACGAATTGACTTTCCTTCGGTGATTCTATTGACTTAAATGTCAATGGTTTTAATATATCCATGTAAAATAACAAGCTCTTAGGTAAATTAGATGAATTTAAACAAGCGAGCTGCTCTTATATCACAATTGTTCTTCAAGCTAATTATGAATAACTGAAATAAATATAGTGGTGAGTTACAAATATTATGTATAAAATAATTATGAGATTTTTACTAATTAGAATCACGGCGACAAATCTCACTGAGACTAGCTATCAGCACAGGAGATATTATAATGCATCAATCTGTGCTTAAGCAAAATTGCACGCTCTGTTTCATTTCAATCTCAAACTCCGGTACGACGACAATTTGACACGATGGATTAGCGATTATGTGTAGAACCAACGTATTTGCGTGGTCTCCGTCTGAGTATTTATTAACTAACAAAACCAGTAACCTTACTTGGCCTGACAAGTTAATCGAACCTAAGATCTTCAGATTTACAGATTTGGACTAGACCAATGAAGCAGTTACATAGTATTAAGTATATTTGATGACACGTTTGGCTCAATTTGTAGTGATCCTACTTACTGTGCCAGCGATCGCGGGCTCGTGTCCCGCTGGGTGGAATTTGTGGGATAAGCATGAATGTTTGTACTCTAGTCATGGGTGTTTATATTTATAATATGTATGTATGTATCAACTATATGGTAACTAACTAGCTTTCCATGGAACTAGATGGTGCTATGTGTTAATGTCCCAACATATTTATTTTATATTTATATTAACGTTACATAATATAGCTTTAAAACACCTATCTCATATCCAATCTCTTTTCAGTTTCGCCAATGATTTGGGTGCCGAACCAACTAGTTGGTGCTCCAGCCGGTACAGACGTGACCGTCGACTGCCACACCGAGGCACACCCTCGCGCCATATCGTACTGGGTATACGACAACGTCATGGTGTTACCCACTAAGAAATATGCAATAAACACAGAAGAAAACTCTTACAGGTATTATAAATTATATATAATATGTATAACAGCGTACCCTCGGTTTGGTCGGGTGCGTCCCTTGAGATCTTATTGTCAATATTTTATTGCTTTATTTCAAACTGTTAAGACGCGCGCGGCTATAAAGCAACTCAAGTGCCACTTTTCTTCCAACTTCAATTAATGTTATTTAATTTTTGGCAGTAAACCCGTTTTTATCTGAATAAAAAATGTCTATAGCGCGTGCCGTAATGTAGCTTTCCAGTGGTGAAAGATTTTTCAGTTTCAGATCAATAGTTTCAGAGATTACCTCCTACATACAAATTTACTTCTTTATTATATTATTATTATATTATAAATATTATTATACTCGTATTATTATATATTATTATACAAATTATGTGAATATTAAAGATTCGCCATCAATTATGAGAATCTCGACTTATCCAGATGAAAAGTATCTAGCCTTATACCACTCTCTTGCCTAGAAAATATCTTTATATATAAATAAAATTAACAAATATAGTAAAGTAATTCGATGGAATTTTTGTATTTTTTTAAATCATTGTATTATTTGTAGGTAGGTTTGTCTGTAATGAAAAAATATTATCTATTATAATAACCTTTGACACGTATTAAACCTCAGTCTCTCCCGTAACCATGATACTGTAAAGCATTCGAAACGTCGAGAACCAAAAATCATAAAAGAAACACGAAAAAATTTAAAAGAAAGTTTTTTTTTAAATAATTATATTAAATTAATTTGCTCTATTATTACAGATGTTAGGTTATGTGGAAATGACAAAAAATTTTAACGATTTCGTTTAAGCAAATTCAGTAATATCAAAACGCTGTAATATGAAAATAAACTAAACAATCATTTTGAACTCTCCGGAAATAGAAACCCAAATACAAAAGTTCATTGAATTTAAAGCAATATCTGATTCCAACAGAAATATATATGGACTATATTAACTGTTAACCTTCTAGCAGACTTCGCGATTTCTGTTTTATTAAATTTCATCTTCAAGAGGGTTTTAGAGTAAAATATATTTTATAGTCCTAACCTACTTGTGCAAGAGCGTAACGTATATTGTTCTTCGGTAAGATAATCTTTTTCCTTAAAAGCATACCTTGGTTATTTCTGGTTGCGCTTTAAAAGAAAATTGCTTTGTGACGAAATTATCTACGATCTGAATAAGCAATAAGAATATAGTATGAAAAACTAAAATTCTATAGTTTTGTATGGATCTGAACTAAAAAGTTGAAAATTAGTCAAATTAAGTTCAAATTAAACCTGCCTTAGCACATTCGGTAACGGCACATTTTGTAATTCAATAATGTTATATTGTTATTTGCACAATATAAATTTTGTATCTATCTTTGTATGTATTCACTTATTTTTGGAACAATTGGACTAATTTTAGCTAAATTTTGCCAGTGGAGAGAGAATTTACGCGAGAAGGTCATGAGCTACTTATTATCTCGAGATAAAGAAAGGAAATAGTAATTATATGAATTTTAAACACGAGTTTACTGTCCCTAAATTACAAAGTGTAGTGTGAAAAATAGTAGGATATTTTAAGCCAGATATTCAAAATGATAGTAATTTTGAAAAGTAAGAAAAAACACCGTACTCTTCGAATTAAACAAACATAATATCAATTTTAAATAAAACTATCTTTTCGGATTATTTCGCTGGAGAGACTCCTGTGACCATTGCTATAAAAATATTCGAAACGTCGAAAACCAAATATCAAAATAAATTCGCGAAATAATCCGAAAAGATAGTTTTATTTAAAATATCAAATATTCACGTAAATCTAAGAAAGTATTATGTCCTTTCAATTGTTTAGTTCTTAACAAATTTAAATTACAGGACACGCTTTTGTGTTATATCCAAAAGCTCTATTAGAACATAGCCATTAACAAGCACACGTCAAACACGTCATGCAAATCAGACCGACAAGTAGTTAACATTGTATGAGGAACTTGTGTTACATACAATTAATATTTGATGCTGAGCACTCTAAGTACTCATAATCCCGACCCTGTATTATGCATTGGCTATTACATAATGAAGCTTTGATCTCAGTAATAGTTTAATGTAAAGACTTATCACGCACTTGGTATAGTTGTTTAATTCGTGCGACTTTTCTCGCTTTTTACTTAAAGCTAGTATTTCTCAGGTTACAGGCATTTTATAAGAGTCAATAGAGCTTTTTTTTAAAATTGCTTTAAGCTTTGGTCTAAATATTCAGACTTTTTAAATAAAATTATTGTTTATATATATATATATATATATATATATATATATATATATATATATACATGCGTCATTATATACTTACTTTAACTAGACTTTTGAGATACTCAAAACTTCTACTACTACTACTACTACTACTAACTTTAACTTTTAGTCTCTATGATTGCTGTGAAGCATTCGAAACGTCGGGAACCAAAAATCTAAATAAAACTGCGAAAAAATCCAAAAAGATAGTTTTATTTAAAATGTCAAGCCTAAATCTAAGAAAATGTTATACTATAAGACTGTTTGAAAGTAATGTACCTTTGCATCGAAACATAATGACGTATACGAAAAGAAATAACTTACCTTTGCGAAGGGTCCGTAACACTTGTACATAGGACACACGAATATAATATGAATTGTGATTTATTCAATCAAAATAAATAGCCCCGAGTAGGATTCTAATCCGCGATGTTCGGCTTAGAGATAGATTCTTAGATAATTATATCCAGTCTTCGATATTATAATAATAACAGAATGAAACATGTGACACAAATAACTCTCATCTAAATTATGAATTCTACAAGCGACTGTGTAATTTAAAGCCAACTAAAATTTATATCGATTTATATATTTCCGTTAACAGGGCACACATGAAACTAACAGTTCGAAATTTACAAACCGGCGACTTCGGCAACTATAGATGTATTTCAAAGAACTCTCTAGGGGAAACTGAAGGCTCAATAAGACTGTACGGTAAGAGAAAAATGTCTATCAATTTTTGAATCTTGTTATTTTTACTTGTAACTGCCTTGGCGGTTTAGTGATTTTCTTCTACGACTGCTGCTTCGGAGGTACTGGGTTCGATTTAATGCGAATACTAAGTATATCTTAGTGAGTCACATAATAATCATGAATACGTACACCTACATATATAAGGGTATAAGGGCTTGAATAGTAATGAAATTAGTTGGTAAAATATAAGGCTAACTGTAATGTATCAAACCGTTTTATTCAAACTGTTTTTGTTTCAGAAATCCCAATGCCCTCAACTTCTCCCAAAGCGACTGAAATGAAAAGTAATGCACACAAGGAAAGTGAGTGTAAAATCTATCAATGTTGCGTTTTAGAAAATAACAAAAATCTATCTCCTGTAACACTACTAAATATTATAGCTGATATAAATACCCAAATTTAAAATGCACTTTATATACAAATATCACTTTGAGAAATGAAAAATATATTAAAGATCTAGATTATATATAATATAGGTATGTCGCTTAATATTACTGATAACTTCAGTCTAAATTCCTGGGTTCAAATCCCGAGTGAAAAGTTTGCATTGACCATACAGATATAAAAGTTATTTTAAGAAAAAATGCACTGTTCTAAAAACTCTTATTATATCGAAATATGCGGGAAAAGTTGCAGTAAACAATGAGTCAGAAACTTTCCCAATATTATAGAATATATAGCTTAATTCTTACATGAGCTAGTACTTTCTTTATCAGATGTTATTTGCTTATTTCATTAGAAACTTTATTTTTCATCATTACTTAAATTAGTTTTCGATCAGTACATTTTTTGGAAAAAAATCATTTAATTTTATTGTTCCTACAAATGCAATCATCTCATTTCTTATATATTTTTATATTTATCATTAAAATAAATTTACAAACGTTATTATTATCATTGTTATACAGCTTTATTTAATTACTGTTTACAGGTATTTAGTAATTTTCAACTATCAAAATATAATTTTCAACAGCTTAGTATTTTGGGTTATTTGCTGAATAATTAAATAGATAATTATTGGATAGTTAAACCTATAATATATGTAATTATAACTTCTAATTATACTACCATATATATTGTAAATGATGGAAATGACCCGTTCTTAGAAGGTCGCATACTAGTGGCTAATAACCCGATTTCACCAACAATAAGCTACCACCTACGTATGGGATCCCTAGCTTAAAAGTCCCCTAAACTAGCCCCTAAATTAAATCTCGTTTTACGATCGCCTTTAAGCCCATATTTCGAGCACCTAAATTTGGGGGGCCTTTTAATATTTAGGTGACCCCTAACTGTCGGTGAAACTGAAACTGTCCCCTAACAGCCCCCTAACCATGCTTAGGGGACCCCTTAAACTTAGGTGACGTGGATGAAATCGGGCAGTCTCTTAAACTACACATTTTAACGTTCTATGCTTCTATGTTATTCCATTGAGTTAGAATATATTTCGAAAAATAGATTTAATCTAAAAATACATCTTCTTTTGCTTCGTAAACCAAAACAAGTATCATTTATTTCAAAAAACTGGATAAATTGACGTCAATTTTTTCTATGAAAAATTATGACTCTGTGAATTTAATATTTATGTATAGATAAGTAAAAATGTCCGGCGAAGTAAAAATGTCCTAAGTTTTAATGTCAAAAATGAAAATCCAAAATACTGTTGGCGTGATTAATACAACAAAATATTATATAAAAAACATGTAATATTAATTGGCCAAATTATTAGTCACGTGGTCCTTTATTCAAGTATTAATTAGCTTCAACTAGCAACAACAGCTTGTACAAGAATAAGTATAAAAACTAAGTCAGATATTTGAAATAACTATAATTGACACTTATAATTTGATATTCTGTATTTCATATATTTAAGTTGTATAGTTTTATGTTGGAAATTTTGAAAATTAGTTGTTGTTTTGGCAAGAGCTGCTCGGTTTGTCTTTAACAGATTTTTTTTAATTTAGACAAAATATACTCAGCATGAGTAGTGATATTGCTGTTCTTCATGTACTCTGATATTCACCATTTACAATCGAGTGCCAGCTCAATTTAATACTTAGCAGATACCATTTTTGATTCTTGGGTTTTTTCTAAGTGTGTTTTATTAGTGTATGCAATATTTAATTTTGGTAAGTACTTTCCATTTTTCGTCCTTGTTGATAAAATTTATTTTACCATACAGTGATAGTTTGTTTGTTAATTCGCCATACTAGATGCTTTCTCATAAAACGGGTCACGTTTGGAGATAGTTTACCTCTAGGTAGTAAGATTTTAGTTTATCGATACACTTGACCGGGCGTAACGTATAAACATTGCACGATAATGCATAAGCTATAAGCGACCATGGCCTAATTTAGACTATGTTGGTTTTAACTTTTAATATTGTTAATTTTAATGATAGTTGAATTTTATTTCAATAAATAATACATTTACAACACAGAAGTTAGTAAGAAAAATTTATTATAAATAAAGAAAACATTGAGTGAGCGACGAGAAATACTGAATAAGCGATTTTATACAAACTAAGCAAAAGTATTTGGAGCTTTTATTGAAACTGCTTAAAAAGATATTTTGGTTAGTATATTTATTTATTTATGATGCATTACGATTATTTTTGGTATATATCATATAACACTATAATATATTAGTTATTCAGGTTTTATAATATTCGCTCATTCAGTATTTGAATTTTCAGTAGGTACCTGTCAAATCTTAAATTTGTAAACACCATTTTAAAAGCAAAGACAGGCTCTACAATTTTTCTTTGAATAATACATAGGATGCTTTCATTTCTGATATATTTTATAAAAAATCTACTTCTTTGCTTTATTACCCATAGTAAGAAAGTGCAATTGTCAGCGATACTCCACTGAGTGTACGTAAACGTTGCATTGCGAGCTCGGCCTAGTTCTAGTTTAGTATCTATTGGCAAGTCAGCAAACTTCTTGATAAGATTTTCATTGTTAGTCTTTTATATGAGAAGAAATAAAATTTTAAGTTGCTGTAAGTACTAATATATTTTTATATGGACGTTATTCCGCACTTTCGCTCGTTGACATAGCGCTACATTTTTGTAAAGAGTTTATTGGGCCTAAAAAAACAATTCACTATATTTTTTATAATTTGAAAAATTAATAATTAATTATTATTATTTACAAAAGTAATTTTATAGTAATAAAATTAATATTTTTTAATAATTAATAAGAAATATGCATTTCGAAGATATTAAAATTATAATAAAAGCCAAATAATCCACTTTAACAATTTCAGTTTGTTTGCGCGATTTCAAAATTATTTATTAGTATAGGGAAAACTATGATATTATTTTTTTTATTAAAAACCATAACGCTCTCACATAAAGCAGAAATGTTTAGTACAAACTTAACAAAAACATATAATTGCAAAAATTCAAGCTGTATGAATAAAACAAGACATAGTTTAAGCCACTCTGGTCTGTAGTGCTATTCTCGAATTTTTATGTAGCTCGACTGCTGATTCCGCGAATATACATACTTCATACAACTATACTATAATGTCCTCCGGACCGATATCGGCCACAGCGCGGCGGCCAATCTCACTGAGACTAGCCATCCTTGCAGGAGATATTATAGTGAAACGTGTGTACGCACAGACAAAAGTGCACTCTTCTATTCCTGTCACTCTCAAAGTCCAATGGGACGATATTTCAATACGGACGGTAAGAGTTAAGGCGGAGAACTGACGGTTTTACTTGCTTTTCAAAGCACGGGGTTGAAACACCGCCAACTTCCCAATTTCGGGAAGTAGTAAGACTGAAAATATCTTTATAGAAAAACATAGTAATTAATCTTGCCCCGACCCAGGACTCGAACCCAAGATCTCTGGATTTGCAGCCTTACATGCTATCCACTAAGACACCGGGAAATATACATGTATGTGTATACAACTGTACGTCATATCGCAGCCTCAGCTATCGAATTACATAAAACTAGGGCCATGCGTTAGATTTTCTCTCGCTCTTCTAAAAACCACAAACGAAATCCGTCTGTCCGTTCATATGTCACAGAAGGTGATACTCAGAGACTATTTGAACTGAGTGTCAATTGCTAGACAATTCTATCAAATTATGAAAAAAAGGAGTTCTCCTTCAGAAAAACTTGAGTCCACATAACTTGAACATGAGACTCTAGGTGTTTTTAGCTCTAAATACAGCCTCTTTTTTGTGCCACCTCTTAGCATCGTAACACCGCACGGAACTGGGTAAAAGTTCTTACAGAATAGCACTATGGCCCTAACCGCGTTGCATATTCGCAGCAACGCGCCGCGCGAACACGAGCCGCGCGACCGAGCGGCCGAGCGTGGTGCGCGCGCAGCTGGACCGCGCGCCCGACCGCGCGCACGTGTACCGCGCGCCGCACCCGCACCACGCTTCAGGTACGCTCTAATGTGTGACTCGATTCATTTTTATATTTATTTGCTATGTTTATCTGACTGACTTATATAATTTTTTTTTATAATCATTATATATTTTAGTTTTTCTCACAATTTATTTATGATGCATATTTATATATAAGATATTAATGCAAATAAAAAAATGTAGCTTCATTATAGTATTTCGTTTTGTATTTATTTCTTATAGATACATGACTGATGTGAATGTATTTTTATTTAGTTTTTAGCACTATGTCTCAGGCATTATGAAAAATATTACTGACCTTATTCTTGTATTTATTTCCTATCTTTACCTGGTTCACTTATGTGTCTGTATGTTAGCTTCATATTGTTTATTTTTACGCTGATATATAAGTTTTTTTTTATACATTTGTTATGTATAACTGACTGACATTATGCTAATATTATGTTTTTTAAATTATTTATAGATTGATACTAACATATATAACTTACTTAATTTTTCCATTTATTTATGCTGTATATCTGTTTGAATTTTATTGCCTCGTTTATTTATTTATAGCTTTCGTATTACTTATGTTTTTGCATCAGGAGACTTTTTCTCATAAATCATATCAGTCAGTGTAAAGAGACAGAAATAGACGTTGACTTATTTGTGCTGTGTATCTGACTGACTTTTAAGTGTACTTTTTTATTTTATATCTTTTATTAGCTTTACATTTTCGCACTTCAGGCGCATTTAGTAGACTTATATTTTTACTTTATTATTTTCAGTTTATATCTTTACATTATTTATATTTTTGCACAACGCGGCTCAGGTTCATTAAAATGGCTGTTTCTTATATATTTTTAATTTATTTATATTGAACTGCACATTATTAACATCTTGTCACTCTGCTAAAGCATATGTATTAACTCAGTTTTTTTATATACTTGTGATAATATATTACTAACTGACTCTTGTTATTAGTTTAGTACCTACTTTACTTCGACTACGTATACGTCAGTATGGTCAATCCAAAATTTTACTTTAAGGAGAATTTAATTTTAAACAATAAAAAAAAATACATTATTAAATAAAACTATCTTTTCGGATTATTTCGCGGATTTATTTTGATTTTTGGTTCCCGACGTTTCGAATGCTTTACAGCATCCATGGTCACGGGAGAGACTGAGGTGTTACATGTCTTAAAGATATAGTTGTTACAGACAGCCTACCCACAATCAACAAATGAAAATTGCACCAATTACATTACAATATTTTAACTTTAAACATTTTTATAATTTTAATTATAATTGAATATGGAAAATTATTTATTTAATTTTTGCTATTATTTTTATAATTATTACAATTTTAAAAATATTAATTAGTAATCTATATTTAGTGTTGCCATTATTATATTTATAACCATAAAGAAAAATATAAAATATAGTATTAATTATTTAAGCCATATAATTGTTCAATGTGTAATTTAAAAAGTTAAAATTAATTAAGGATTATAATTTTAATTTAGTTTGCTATTATTTAAAAACAACTTACTAAGCAACACTATTAATATATACTTTTACAAATGAAAAATGAAAAATATCAATCTGATAAGCTGTCATTTTGATCTACACAGTATGAACTTACTACATCTGCTTGTCTGTTATGTTTATATTTATTATTTGATTTTATTATATTAATAACAGGATCCCATGACGATGGTAGTACCCAGCCATCTTCCCTATTGAAATTTGGATGTTTTTAATTTCTATGGCTTCTCGAATCATTCTAGGGCGATATCGGTTTTCTTTCGCCAAGATTTGAGGTCTATCGAAACGAATATAATGGCTTGGGCGGTCCTGGCTATGTTTGCAGACAGCAGATGTTGTATTGCGACGGTGCTTCACATCAGCTATGTGTTCTTTGACCCGGGTTCTAATGGATCGCTTTGTTTGTCCAATGTAAGAGAGCCCACAATCACAATCAAGCTTGTAAACTCGAAGAACTGACTAATTTTCTTTGGCGGCTTGAAGTAAGTTTTAATTGAAGCTCGCTTTAGAATGTAGCCAATCTTGTCAGTGACGACGCAGGCGCGGCACTTGCAGCTTGTTGTCACGCAGAACTTGCTTGACATGTTGCAGTTCTCCGGCCAGGTGTTGCTCGTCACAGATCCCGCGCGCTCTCTGAATCTGTGTTACGTTTAACTAATACATCTAGGAAAGCTAAGGTATTGTCTGATTCTAATTCCATTGTAAATTGTATTTTAGGATTTATAGAATTAAGGTGTTCTAAGAATACAGTTATTTTATCAGATGGTAATATTGTGAAAGTGTCATCTACATACCGCTTGTAGAAACGAGGGGTCACGGGTGATGTGTTCAGAGCAGTCTCCTCGAAGTCCTCCATGAAGATGTCGGCTACGACGGGGGAGACTGGCGAACCCATGGCCACTCCATCCACTTGCCTATAGAATTCACCATTCCACAGTAGATAGCCAGATGTTAGGCAGTGTTTTAAAAGTTCAATGTATTCTATTGACATGTTGTGATCTAGTAGCTTCCTAGATATTATTTCAATACAGTCTTCCACTGGTAGGCTGGTAAATAAAGACTGTACATCGAAACTAACCATTGTTTCATTGTCCATGAGTTTTAGGTGTTTAACTTCATTGACAAAATGGTAAGAGTCCTTTGTGAACGCTCTTGTTAATCCTCTGAGTGGTGAGAGTACTTTTGCTACTAGTTTAGCCAATTTGTAAGTCGGCGAGTCGATCACAACTTAGGTGGTTACATGATGGAATAAGATTTTTAACATCAAGATTTAATATGTCGGAGTGTTCCTTAATTAGCTTTTTAGTATTATTTAAAACGGTGCTAGTTGGATCCGTTTTAACCTTTTTGTACGTGCTCTCGTCCGACAAAAGTTGTTTTATTTTAGTCTGCGCGTAGAACGGTGATGTCTGACCTATTGCGTAGGTTCTTCAACGCTAAATACTCTTGTTCAGTTTTCATAATGTTTTGGGCCAGGGCATCTTCAACTGCGCAAATAATGTTTTCATAAGGAATGCGCGTAGGCGTTACAGCAAAATTCAAACCTTTATTTAGTACCCGAATAGTAGGTTTGACAACAGCTTGAGGTCCGCACGAGTGTGTATCTGTGGTAGACGGGCGCGTTCCGTTACACTCTATGGTTTTCTTTTTCTTTTTGATTAATTTTCCACGAGTTTTTGATATTTTAAAATATGTTTAATTTTGCACTGATTATATTTGGTTGTTTCACGCTTATTTAAAGTGTCAATGCAATCGTTGAAATCAGATGGTGTCAATACTGTCTTAACAATATTAGACGTCTGTTCAATGTCCCGGTCGTTTCTGCGTAGATCGCGGCGATTTTGTCTAATCACTGTCCGTAACAACTTAAAACTTGCCTGGTTTACGATCTTAGCGCTTCCTCGTATGTTCTTTTTGGAAGATATTTTCACACACGTAGGAATGAGACGATGATCACGACATCTCTTCAAGAAAGTTAACGATGTTAATAATCTTGCGCGCTTTGTCTTTAGATCTTCTAACCGGCGTATCTTGTTTGCGGTTTCCAGTCCGTACTGGTTCACATAATACTTTCTTAGATTTACGCGAATGTTGACATTATTAAATAATCGTTTCTACAAGCGGTATGTAGATGACACTTTCACAATATTACCATCTGATAAAATAACTGTATTCTTAGAACACCTTAATTCTATAAATCCTAAAATACAATTTACAACTACATTCTAAAGCGAGCTTCAATTAAAACTTACTTCAAGCCGCCAAAGAAAATTAGTCAGTTCTTACCACCTGTCAAGTGCCACATCCCTCTACAAGATGCAGGAGTTTACAAGCTTGATTGTGATTGTGGGCTCTCTTACATTGGACAAACAAAGCGATCCATTAGAACCCGGGTCAAAGAACACATAGCTGATGTGAAGCACCGTCGCAATACAACATCTGCTGTCTGCAAACATAGCCAGGACCGCCCAAGCCATTATATTCGTTTCGATAGACCTCAAATCTTGGCGAAAGAAAACCGATAGCCATAGAAATTAAAAAACATCCAAATTTCAATAGGGAAGATGGCTGGGTACTAATATAATAAAATCAAATAATAAATATAAACATAACAGACAAGCAGATGTAGTAAGTTCATACTGTGTAGATCAAAATGACAGCTTATCAGATTGATATTTTTCATTTTTCATTTGTAAAAGTATATATTAATAGTGTTGCTTAGTAAGTTGTTTTTAAATAATAGCAAACTAAATTAAAATTATAATCCTTAATTAATTTTAACTTTTTAAATTACACATTGAACAATTATATGGCTTAAATAATTAATACTATATTTTATATTTTTCTTTATGGTTATAAATATAATAATGGCAACACTAAATATAGATTACTAATTAATATTTTTAAAATTGTAATAATTATAAAAATAATAGCAAAAATTAAATAAAGATTGTGGGTAGGCTGTCTGTAACAACTATATCTTTAAGACATGTAACACCTCAGTCTCTCCCGTGACCATGGATGCTGTAAAGCATTCGAAACGTCGGGAACCAAAAATCAAAATAAATCCGCGAAATAATCCGAAAAGATAGTTTTATTTAATAATGTCAAACATTCGCGTAAATCTAAGAAAGTATTATAAAAAAAATACAGTCGAATTGAGAACCTCCTCCTTTTTGAAGTCGGTTGAAAACAAAAGTATTTTAGATACGTGTCAATCAGATGCTCGATTGCTATGTGTATATTTCTTTATTTTAAATCATATTAATTAATAGACTTGTATGTACTTGTATTAATAATACGTTTTTGTTATGATTAAGTAATTTTTATTCTGATAATATTGTTTCGTATTAATTTAGGTATATTATTTTAATTTGTTTTCTGACTTTAATAGTTTGAACTTAACGTTTTAAGCATTTTTTTTAAAACAACACATATTTTTCACTGTAGCTAATCCGTAAATGTATGGTGCCAAAAGGCAACAATGGATAATCAC